TGCACTCGAAACCCATGCGGCGCGTGGAGGTCTTGCACGTGATCAAGATCCAGGTACGCACGATAGGTGGCACTTCAGTATCCCCGGGGAGAAGCAACAGGATGGGCGTGTCAGCTGTTTGTTTGTCCTACTTCACATCGTAGCGTAGTAAGGGCGGCATCGCTGAACCGCGGAGGAATCTGGTCGTCTCGATTCTCCGGTGCTGTTGCATTCCTCGGCCTTTTCCCCACTGTTGTTCAGTAATGTCCTGCTGTTTTGCCTCTTATGGTCCTCCTTGATTTAGATTCGAAACAGTTTTGCTCCACTTGTTTCGTCGCGTTTCAAACGTGTTTATTGTTTTCTGCCGGCGAACAAACGCCTCCTGATGCAGGTTCCCCGTGATGTTCGGGGGACGCACGAGGACTACAAAAAAGAGGTTTCAAACGTCTGACGCCGATTTCACGGCACTTTTTCCTCAAGAAGCTGCCGGTTTTACGTTGGGGTGAGTGCCAGCGGTCACAAATTTCACTCGCAGCGCGTGTGAGGAGGCGCCGCAGTTGCCGCACTTAGAGAGTATAAACATTTGCCTCGAGATAGATCGGGCGGTCTAGCAAGCCCCACTTTTGTGCGTCCCAAAGGTCATGGTGAGGGTTTGTCATGTTTTCCTCTGCGTTCCATCCGTAGTCATCCGACATATTCCTTGCTTTCCCCAAGAAAAACACTGGCAGAAATCAAGCACTTGGGCGAAACATCTTCTTCCTTCTGTTCGATTCTGGAAACATGGACACTTGAAGTTGCTTTCTTTGGTGATGTGTCTCCTGCCCCCTGTAGGGTCGAAACGTTTACGGAGATGATTGTCCCGTGTACCCCCAACCCGATGCTACGACGTCTCTCGCATCTGCAGGGACCCATGTGTCTACGTCCTGGCTGCGGGCTGTGCAACACATGCACGCACGGCTTTAAGATCGGTGACAACGTCGGCCACTCACCCACGAGGGGAAAGAGGGTTCGTTGGCTCATGTACGGGAAGGGGCTCTATTTCAGCAGCGTGTCCGGCAAAGCGAATGACTTCTCCGCAAAGACCGAAAAGGTGAATATAGCTCAGAAGACTGAGGTCGCCGACCTTCAGATTTCCGTTGTTCAAATTCTGTCCACGCTGTTCGTGATGTTGGGGATCGTTTTGAATTGACCCATTGTTCATCTGCGCACCAACTCGTCGGTGTTTTTTCACTTCACCATACGTCAGGCAGTCCGGAGTAGGTCAATTGGTGGGGTTGAGATTTGAGCGTTTGCTGCCACACGTACATAGCTTCATTTGCCCTCCTTACTGTGTCAACGACTAGGATTTCCTCTCTGACCCAACTCAATGCATGACGATGGGCTTCGTGCACAGTAACACGTATCTCGCCCGACAGCTATTTGGCGAGTTTCAAACCTTTCCTGCCGTATAGGACTGAACCAAGTTTGTCCATGAGACCATCTGCAACCCAGAAACAGAATTGACCCGTATTGCAAACCACTTGCCGCCGTGCAACACGCTCACGCCCCAGTCACACTGAATATCTCGAAGAAAACGAGCAAGAGGAGTTCAAATACATTTTCAAGGACGACAACGATACTACTTACCAGACTGAGGCTCGGAAACCATCATGTGCAATGTCAAGAACAATATGATGGTCAGGGACGTCTCTTGCGTAGGATCTTCTAGTGGTTGATACCTTCGTGTGCCTTCTAGTGGCTAGGTGAGGAGCTCGAACCTCGGTGGAACTATTTGAAGTGCATTTCTCGGCTCTTCGTGTGGAACCGCTTGTTTTCGAATATCGCACAGGAGCGAAGGAGCAGCCGAAACCTCGTCACACAGCGACACCATAGCGTACACCGCAAGAAGGACCTCGTTCGTGCTACCTACGATCGCTCTTGAGTTAGTAGAGGCTGCTTAAGCGGATAGAAACTGCATGCGAAGGTGTACTCATGGGAACACGAAACTGAGAAACATCATACCGCACGTATGTTTTCTGACCTAAAATAGTGCACGCATCAAGCTCGTAACACTGCATCTAGTGGCGCTCATCTCATACATGCATACAATCTCCATAGTCTTGAGGAGAAGAAAATTGAACCAGATTTCACGTGTGTATGGGCAGATGCGATCGCAGTTTCACAGCAAACATTCTGATGCGTGCTGTATCCGCGTGTGGTGTATTCGGGGGTGGAATTTGCTCTTCTTCTACATCAGCGGGCAACCGATGGCACCAAGGTCCGATGAATGCTGGTCGCCCACGTCGCTGCGGGGAGAGCGTACGTGACCACCGAGAAGTACTTCCCGCAGATGGAGCGGCCACCGTTGGGCTATAACTCTGTAGTTGGAGAGGTAACCTGACACTTCTCACCGAGATTGATGGACGTAATCTTCGAAAAACGATGTTCATTCATGCACGATGCGAACGGTTTGCAGAGAATGACTCGGTGGTTGTACTGCTGTCATATTGGCATGCAACGATGGGGCGCGACAGGTTGTTGTCACGCCCACCTCGGTCCATCTGTTTGCCTACCTCGAATGCAACTTTGGTGTATCCACACGACAGGCGTGCGTTCCTTTTCTCATGCATTGGCCTATCAACACCCTGTTGCAATCAACGAGTTTTCACCCCTGTAATCAGGAATGATATTTGCCTGCTCTTCCGTTTGGGTTTTCTGCTTTCAGGTTGGTCCGCACTTCAACTACGACGAGCTTGTCGTGTACGACCCGGCGGCCGCCCTGTCTACCCACTTTGTCGTGTACCGGGTAAAAGGACCCCCGCCTGCCTCACCCAACTTCGAGATTGAGGACTAGGGGACATGTAGCTCCAAACGAAGCAACGGCCAAGGAAGAAACAAGCGCGGTGATAAGGGCCGCTCACGCTTGGCAAAGGTTGGCGGGGTCACCGAGCCGATCGTGCACCGGTCCACAGTCATCTGTCTATCCAGCGAGTATCGTAAGGCTTTACCCGACGGAATACCGCGGAAACAACGGCGACGAGAGAGATTCACTATTTGAGGGCGCTAAATCGTAAATAGAAAGACCCGCAGTGGGCCCGATCATCCAATGGCCGCGGCCCATCGTTTTCAAGGCTGGTAGGCACGAGGCGACCTGCCCACAACATCTGCGGGTAAGAGCCCGGCGACAGTGAAACGTTGTGGCTCCGAGACTGTCGTAAGGAGCGGTGCATTCAACAGGGGTTCGGCAGATGTTGTTTCAAGCCGCAGCAGATCCGCCTCCAGGTACACGCCCGGAAACTTTTCCGGCAAGGGAGACGTGTGACGATGACAGGTTACGCCTGGCGAATTTCTGGTTGATCAGACGGTTCGGGGAAGCTTTGTCCCTTCAGGGCAATAGCAGGGCTACCCGCAGGCATGCAACGCCGGGAACCTCGGCGACACCAGAAAGGCACGGCGACACCGCTTCCCACTCCCCAAGGACATCGGGAGTCAACCGGTTGATGACTCGGTGCGTTTCGGCTGGACGGCAACCTATCGCTGCCGAAATAAGTACTAGACGCCCCGATGCCAACCATCGTTGTGACGAAAATGTGGTTGGACTATTGTGTGGGTAGCAGAACACGCACCACCAATAAATCATGAGCATCGCGTAGGTAGGCTGAGTTAGAACCAGGATATCGTTCGCGTTCAGAGATGACGAAGGCACCCCATGTGACGCCAGTCGGTTGTACTCTTGGCCGGACAATCGTATCGACTCTAGCAGTTGTTAGTAGAAAAACACCCTCCCTTGGTTGGTAAGAAAAGGGAGGTGGACTTGCCTCAATGTTCCAGGACATTAGCAGATTAGAGCTACCACGCCAACTATTCGTTGTCCGGAGCAGGAAGTCTTGGCAGCAAGCGCTGACGGGAGAATGGATTATTGCATGAAGTGGGCGGAGGACAATCGACAGCAGCGGAGCACAATCGCCGTAGCAGGCTGTAGGGCTCCTCGCGTCCGTGGCCAGCCTAAGAACAACGTGCGAAACGGTGTTCCCCCAAGTGCGATGCGTTAAAAGTGAGGGAGCGGGGATAGTTATTCTTGAAGTTAAACGTTGCCAACACGCCATGTCTGTAGCTTGAACACCTTGATGGCAATGCAATACTTGTTGTTGATTGCACGAGGATGATGCTGCTGGGTTTAGATGGTCTAACCGTTTCCGTGAAACCGTTGGAAGGGCAAGGCTACGACAGGTCCACATACCGGCGTACACAGTTTGGTCTTGAGGCATGTGTTCAGGAGCGTTTCGATCCGATTATTGACAAGCGCGAAAAGGATCGCGGAAGGAACCTTCCTCCAGATGGAAAAGAAGGGATGCGCAGCAGAGGAATGGTCTATGTTGATACATGTCGTCGCTCCTCCTTGTAGATAGAGGAGGAGGATATCGTGAACGACGGCAATAGGTTAGACGAGTTAACAACAAGGAGAGCCGTAAGGCAGAAACTGCGTATTGGTAGGTGGCGCCCTCTCGTGTGGCAAGAAATTGTGACTCAGATTAAGGTTTTGTCTCGATATTTATCGGGTCATGCATAACTCACCTGGGCAGAGATAGGGCACAATATCTGCGGAGAACGATCTATGTATGTAGAACAGCAGTCAAGCAGCAGTACGACTAGAGGGCGATCGGCGACGTCCAACAGCGATCACACAGTTCCTCGCAAGCTCGGTAATCGACGTATGTATGAGGTTCAGCACTCACAGCAATTCGCACTTGGTGGGCAAAGGCACAGTATGTGGCTCAATTGATCTTTCGCTTCGGGAGCGGCGTCAAGTAGACCCCGGGTTATTGTTTACGGGCACCCGCCGAAGAAGAGGCGTTTGCCCCAAGGGGTCAGGGGACATGTACCCTGGACCCCTCCAGCAGGCTAGATCGGGAGATATATTGGTCTGTCTGATTCGCAATCATGTCCGCCTACGCCCTCCAGGTAATCGCAACCATGCGAGGTATCCATCAGAGTATTTCGAAAACCGGTGGGGACGACCGGCCGTAACAAAATCACTAACTTCGGAAGCCCTTTTTCCAGCAAGGTCACACACCTTGTTCAAAACCGCATAAAACACCTGTCTGCACGGATGGGCAGAAACGTAACACACGAACCTCCCAGTAAAAGCCACATCATACTTTCGCCACATGGGGCCCACGAATACAACCACCAATAAGCACTTGAATAGACCTTTCGTCACTTCTCCAAAAAAGCATGAGGCGTCTCGCGCATTTTGTGTCGGAAATTCCAAACATCGAGCCTTGACACAAACATTTCCTCCTTTCCCGCTTCCGTGGTTCTTGCACTCCGGCAGTGACTTCAAGGGACATCTTCACCCACAGAAAAGCTACTTTATGCTGCGCCCCTCATGCTACGAAAGGTTGACAGCCCCCGCACAACAGCTACATTCCTGAACACCCAGTTGGAAGCAGTTCGAACGGTCGGTCGGCCATCCCCCTCCCCTACCCTGAGGGGGGGATAGATACGTGGAGGCGTCGTCAGAAGCGAGGGCTTTCATTTCTTCTCCAGAAAAGCGTCCAGATTGCGATTGAGGTCGTCGGGTTGATCCGCGGTGACCCAGTGCTTGGAGCGTGTCATGGCGACGGACGATGATCCTTCCTTGTCGTTGACCTTCTTGGCCCACCAGTCAGCGTGGAACGGCTGCGCGTACGTGACGGTATGTAGACAGCAAAGACAAAAAGGGGAGAGGAGGCGACAAATGTACCATGCACTGCTGCAACAGAGGGCAACGAAGCGCGTGTGGATGCGTTCGTGGAAGTTAAGCGCTCAGAACGTCAGAAAATAGGAGGTAGAGTGAAGGATTTCTTGCGTCCTCGTGTACGTGAAAACTCAGAAAGGAAACTCTACCGCAGCACTGGGGCTCTGCGCATTCCGGGTTTTGGGACAACACTTCAGACTCGTTCTTCGCCATTGATGAGTAATTGTGGCGCAGTCGAATCATGTTTCAGAGCTACACGCAACCGAGGTAACACTCGTCCCCTAGAAAAGAACAACCAACGAGCTCACCATCACCCTCTTGTACCCGGCAGATCCGTAAGCAAACAAGAGAGGCGCCCTCGGCATGAGATTTCCGATGGGCTCCTGACTTCTGTCCAGCTTTCGCTTCCAATAGTGGTAGTACGGGTAGCAGGACCTGGCCGTTGCCACGCGAGCGCCGGCAGGAGCCCCTACGAGCCGGGCGAAGGACATCGCCATAACGTCGCCGATCGGACCTCCTACCCGAAAGGCGGCGATGAGCCACAGGTGATAGCTGTTGTTTTCCCAGGAGAACGGAAAGACGTCGCCCGTGCCGTCGGCGGTTGATATGCCATATGTCGTGTTGGGGTATTTATGTTGTGCATGAAGGACTCTATTCTGCTGTGTGGGGTTTATCCCCGGCATTGTGAAGGCGTGTTTCCAAGTCTGTAACCGTCAGGTGAAGACAGCTTGGGCGCTTGTGTGTGGATAACAAATCACTTTGTGTTTCTCTCCCCAAGCCTCCGTCACATACGCCAGCCACAGCATACAACAGCCGTTGTTGTGCTGTTAAATCTTGAGCCTCGCGCGGTAGGGGAACTGACACGAGTCACATGGCGTGCGCAGCTCCCATCACGAATCCCATGCAACGTGGGTTTGTGACTTTTGATGGTGATGATGCGAGCGTCCCTGGATGGGTCACTCTCACACGCGTCTTGATGCATTAGTCTGGCCTCGGAAAGATAATGCCGGGAAAAAAACACCCTCCTGAAGCTCTGACGGGAGATGAAGCCCCGGACGAACGGGCGGCGCATGCCACTGCGATGGAGAAGTTCGCTGAGAGAAATGGCGAGCTGTACATGCGGCGTCTGATGTCGACGTCCGACGGCGCAGGAGGGTTCTCCATGCTGATAACTCTTACACTACATAACTTTTAGAGCCGGAGTTTTATGCCGGGTATGCCCGTACTTGTGTTCAGTGACTAGAAAGTCTCGTTGATGGCTTGTATTAGATCCGCAGGAGTAACGCACGACAGAGAGGGGAGAAAGAGAGTGCCCCACGCAGGCTGACGCAGCATGGGGGCACCGCTGACTCATCGAAAGTCTACCACAAAAGGTACTATCGTATGTCCCTTCACCTACGGAACACAGAACCGTCCTTAGATCCTTCCCACATATGCACACCCACGAACACCCTCCCTGGTTCCTTATATTAGAAATAAACCATAACCGTGTGTTGCTCAACGTGCTCAGGTATCACCGAAAATCACACAGAAAAAATGCGTTGCAAGGAAAAACCCGGCCACCGAGCCAAAAACCCTCGCAATGATTCTACGACTACCAAATAAAACATCCTCGTTGTCATCTCAACGACTCCAATTCCCTAGAAACAAAGGCCAAGTGCAGTGCTAACGTTGGCGTCTTGCCTACTGCAATTCCCCATCAATAGCGACATACCAAGTGGACCAAACTACATCGATGGTTCGGATGATCATCTCAACATTTTCAGGGGAAGACAAACATAAAATACCAACGCTGGCTGAAATACAGCAACAGGCATGAAGAAACACAATCATTCAACTTATTGCGTGTCAGGTGGCCCGGAAATTTGGATTGCGAGCGTTGGAACGACCTCTCACGCAACAAACAGAACATCAGATCAACACCAAAAACGTCACTGCGCATGAAATGCCACAGTGCTCCCCCGTGACATCTAGCCTTTGAGTTTCGCTGTTGCGAATGTCCTACGCGAACAATTCAAACAACAAGGGAAAACATTGATACGATACAGACACGGTAGCGACTTTTGAGGGGGGGTCGTCAAAGTCATGCACGTTCACTAACATCGGTTTAACGCCACATTGGATTCCCTCCCATATTTTGCGACTATACACAAAAAACTCAAAACTGCTACGAGAATTCTCTGCTAACGGTACCAACCGAAAATTGTCGGTCTCGGCAGGGGTCTTGACTCCGTTGCCGAACGGGCTCCGGCTCCTCCAACGCACCAGCAAAGACCCCTGCTGCTGCTCGCCACCCTGGTAAGCGCGCCGACTGCAACGGCAAATGCCTACGCTGCCCCCCCTGCATCTGGAAGCGCGTTGGCGGAGATCTGTGATGACCGAGCAGCTCCCCCCTTCATCTGGAGTACCGCCCAACTGGAAAAATTCTGCGCTGCCCCCCCTTCATCTGGAGGCGTGGAGGTGAAGAACTGTTGCCCCCCCCTACATCTGGAGAGCGTTGACCCGCGCCGCCCCCCCTACATCTGGAGGCGCGCCGGTGAAGAACTGCTGCCCTACATCTGGAGAGCCTAGATCCGCATCGCCCCCCCTACATCTGGGGGCGCGCTGGTGAAGAACTGCTGCCCTCCCCTACATCTGGAGAGCGTAGACCCGCATCGCCCCCCCTGCATCTGGGGGCGCGCTGGTGAAGAAAATTGTGCCCTTCCCTACACCTGGAGAGCGTGGACGCGCGTCGCCCCCCCTACATCTGGGGGCGCGATGGTGAAGAACTGCTGCCCTCCCCTACATCTTGAGAGCTTGGACTCGCGTCGCCCCCATTGCATCTGGGAACGCGCCAGTTAAGAAACTACTGCCCCACGTCTGGGGTGCGTCTGCTTTCGCTGCCCCCCCGTACATCTGGGGGCGCGTACAGATGCCCCTCCCGTTTTTTCTGGAGATAACACCTGTTAGATATTTGCGCTACTCCCCTTACATCTGGGGGTGCGTGTTAGTACCCTCCCCTACATCTGGAGAGCACACCTCCGAAAAAATTCCGCTATCCCCTCTACATCTGGGGGCGCGTGTTAGTACCCTCCCCTACATCTGGAGAGCACACCATCGAAATTTTGTGCTACCCCCCCTACATCTGGGGGCGCGTCTTAGTACCCTCCCCTACATCTGGAGAGCACACTTTCGAAATTTTGCGCTACCCCCCCTACATCTGGGGGCGCGTCTTAGTACCCTCCCCTACATCTGGAGAGCACACTTTCGAAATTTTGCGCTACCCCCCCTACATCTGGGGGCGCGTCTTAGTACCCTCCCCTACATCTGGAGAGCACACTTTCGAAATTTTGCGCTACCCCCCCTACATCTGGGGGCGCGTCTTAGTACCTTCCCCTACATCCGGAAAGCACAATTTTAAGAACTCACGTCGCCCCCCCTACATCTGGGAGCGTGGAGTGTTGGGGCTGTGTATGGTGGGTTCCCTACCTTACAAGGCCTCACGCTCATCTAGCGTATCCTCCGAGAATAAGACCGCCATAAACGCTCGGGTACATCATCGAACGAAGATAAACTACAGTTGTTGCTCAACAAAACACTCGCACTCAAGAATGGAAACGCCCGAACCGCGAAACGCCTTTCGAAAACATCATCATTCGCTGTATCATCGTCAGCGAAACTACAGACGCTCTTACGAACACCAAATCAAAACTGAAACGCCTGAACTGAGAGTCTCCTTCATAAACTTTCGGTATCATTCGTCACAGGGAAGGTCACTCAAGGAATCACTCACGAATCAACCAGAAATAAAGTGTCCGCGGCAACGCCGCGCTGTTGTTAGCCCTCTTTCAAAAATACAGCAGTATTGCGCGGTTTTTCTCCTCTGCGACAAGTCGACATTCACCAGGATCGCCATGAATGCAATACTCCAGCTCTCTCGGACCAAGTACTTTTCCCGCGATCAACAGGCTCGGGTGTAGTGCCGCCCGCTACTCCACCGCTGACGCCGCCGCTGTCCCGAGCGCCAGGGCCCACAGTCTCGAGTAGGTTCCCTGCGGCGGAACCCCTCCCGGTTCCCCCTGGGATTCCAACCACACCCCCCACGGCGCCCCCGTCCACCACGGCGCCGTGTGACCCTCCTCCTCCGTCCCGCGCGGACTGCTGGAGCAATAGTCCCTCGAAGCGATCAAGGAGCTGCTCTATCCTTCCCTCAGCCTTTGCCTGCTGTTCTTCAAAGCGGGCCGTCAGCTTGCGCTCGACTTCTCCGAGTTTCGCAGCGAGCTCCTCCTCCGAGACTCCTCCCGACATCGTTGCTGGCACGGGCTTTGCTTTCGTTTCCTTGCAACGACGATGGAGAAAGCTAACTCTAGAGTGTTGATAACTCTTAGGGCCGGAGCCTTATGCCGGGTATGCCCGTATTTGTGTTCAGTGACTAGAAAGTCTCGTTAATGGCTTGTATTAGATCCGCAGGACCAACGCACGACAGACAGGGGAGGAAGAGAATGCCCCACGCAGGCTGACGCAGCATGGGGGCACCGCTGACTCATCGAAAGTCTACCACAAAAGGTACTATCGTATGTCCCTTCATCTACGGAACACAGAACCGTCCTTAGATCCTTCCCACATATGCACGAACTCGAGTACTAGGTAATAGCCTTGGTAGACGGGTGCAGAAGCTTCTGTTGCTGCTGTTTCTGTTTTTGATCCGAAGGATAGTTTAGCCTCCCCCATGCTGCCCCCTCACGGGGTTCCAGTTCATGGTAGATATAAGTGTTTTGTGTTTTCAACCGCACTAAGACTGACGTCTTTTCATTGGTCAGCCGGTTAGCGCGGTCGATGCTAAAAATAAAAGCACACACGAAAATGCTCTTGAAACGTCAATTTTTTCGACAGTCAAACACGTCGATGCGCAACTGGCGAAAGTATTTTGCAAACACTTCCAACATGTCGTCATCCTCTTCGTGCAAGCAAGACTCCGTCGCCGAAGCTGATGAACCATTCGAAATCAAGTTCATCAAGCAGACGGTGAAGAAAGCCAACCCTCAGAGTGCTCCGGGGCCTGATGGTCTTCATTGTTCGTATCTCCAAGCTGGTGGGATGAGTGATTCCTTTACTGAAACTTTGGCGGACTTCAGCTTTAAAGTCTTCTACTACGGAGACGAGCTTCCGGATTTCTTTTGGAACCTCCACACCAGTGCCAACCTTTCAGCGCTGGGAGAGAAAAAACGGCCGATTGCAGTTGGAGGGGTTTTGCGTCGCATCATCAGCGGCAGCTTCTGCCGCCAGTACAAGGGAGGAATTGCGAACATCTTCGAAGCAGCAAATCAGTTCGGAGGTGGTGTTCCAGGAGGAGTTGAGATAGTGGCTTCCACAGCAGNTTAGAAAAAACGGCCGATTGCAGTTGGAGAGGTTTCGCGTCCCATCATCAGCGGCAGCTTTTGCCACCAGTACAAGGGAGGAATTGCGAACATCTTCGAAGCAGCAAATCAGTTCGGAGGTGGTGTTCCAGGAGGAGTTGAGATAGTGGCTTCCACAGCAGCCCTCAGCCACCAGCAAGGCAGCACCATTCTCTCCTTTGATGGGAAAAATGCTTAGACGCATGATCTTCCATCTTGCCAGCAGTGGCCACTCATACGCCACACTTGGTGAAGTACTTCGGGAACATCTACGCTCGAACCAAGGCGAAACTTCTGTTCAAAATGGAAGATGGTTCGATCGAGGTTGTTCTTTCACAGCGCGGAGTTCAACAAGGCTGCAATTTGGGAGGGTTTGGCTTCTGTGTAGGACTCCTTGATATCATGAAAGAGTTCAACAACAAGCCACCAGTGCCAGGAGTCAAACTCATCGGATACGTCGACGACCGCCAAGCACATCTTCCACCAGGTTTTGCTAGAACATGCAGGCCACATCCACTGTAACGAATTGGATTCAGGAACGATTCTCCCAAAAAGGGATTGAGCTCAGTCTCCCGAAATCCAAAGTTCTTTTCCCGGAAGGTCTTTGCATGTCCTCTTTGACAAACGACGAACAGCAACAATTGACGAAAATTGGTCTGTCAGTTGCTGAAGGTGGCATGCCAGTTGTCGGGATCCCAGTAGGAACAGAAGAGTTCCAGAGGAATTTCGTTTCCAAAATCGCCCGTGGTGACCCGGCGGAATTGATACTCCGCCTAGCAACGCTTGACGACCCTCAAGCCAGCTATCAACTGCTGCGTTTATCTGGTGTGCCACGTTTGTTCCATCTGCTGAGGACGATTGCACCGTCTATCACCAACTCTGCCGCAAAAATACATGATAACATGATGATGTGGACAATGAGGAAGATCGTCCTTGGCAAGATGGCCAACAGCATGAGAATATCAACAGTCAAAGAAGAACGCGCAGACCCGACGAAGAGCGAAGAGGTAGATTCCTTCAATGCAACAGCTCGGGCGCAGGTGCACCTTCCCATGCGTGAAGGAGGACTAGGAATCACGAGCAATGTTCTCATTCGAGAATCGGCTTTTGTGGCAGGGCAAGCGCTGGTGTTCTCCAAGTCAGTGCAAGCATCGACAGGATACACAGTTGAGCAATGTCTACCCCGGCTTGCCCAGCTACCGACAGGGTTGGCTCTGATTGACTCGCTGAAGAAGCTAGAGGAAATAATCACCAAAGACAAGCTTGAAAAAGCTGTTGGGCAGTCATGGGCTAAACTTGCCACAAGTGATGAGTTAACCCCCGCCCTCAAAGGAGTTTACTTGTTGGAAGCAGGGAAGGCGGGAAAACCCCGTGAAGATGGAAACCCTGACGTAGAACATCAACCACCGTCTACCTTCAGCCGAAATGAATTTGGTCAACACTACCAAGTCTTTGGAGCCCAAGCTCTCCATTTTGAAACTCTTCATGCAGCAGTGCGTCACATGGTGGAGACAGACTTGCAGAAAGTAGTAGGCGAGGAAACGCCAAAGAAGAGGGCGTTGATCCGCTTGGAGGAAGCGAAAGGCAAGGGAGTTTTGTCGTGGTTGACAACGCAAGGGTTGTCAGCAGATGAAAGAATGCTGCCTGATCTATATCGAGAGTCAATCGGTCGTGTACTGGGGAGTCACGATCGAGCAGACTGCAACACAGGCAAACTTTGTGGTGCAGGTGCATTGTTACCATGCAAGGACCGCTTGAGCCGAGCCCACTCCCTCGTCTGCACCAAGACCGGCGCCTCAACCTTCCTCCATAACAGGATGGTTCGAGTGGTCCTCAAGACACTGCGCGAGTGCCATATGCCCATCGCCGTTGAGGATTCTTCCCCTTTTACCACAGGCACTGGTAGGGGAAAGGGGCTATACAAGATGGATTTGGTAATTCCCCCAGGGTTACACGCAGGAGAGGAGGAAGGGGAACTCTGCACCAAGTCCATTCTCATAGACGTATTAATCGTCAACCCATCCGCAGGCCGAAGCATCGACAAGTCGATCCTTAAGCCAGGATCCGCCCTCGAAGATCGAGCTGCAAGTAAGGCAAATCACTATGCGGGAACTTTCAACCCGTCTAGATCTACCCTCCTTACTGCTGCTTTTTCAACGAATGGTGGTCTTGGCAAAGGCACCAATCGACTCATCGTTGCTATCGCCAACCACATGGCGCACGAAGCTTTTTGCCGGGGGAATTTTGAAGGCGAAAGAGCGTTAGTTCGCCTGAAAGCTTTTCATACGAAGAGGATTCGGAGACGGTTTACCTTCGAGCTAGCTCGTTTTCTGTCGATGCGAACTCGCGATGTGTTCAAACGTCATGGGCTACTGATCGACCAACTTCCACCAGGGCCAATCGGTTGGGATCTCTGCGACAACGATAGTAGTGAGGGTAATTATTTGGGAGTGACGAAGACGAAGGAAAGGGAAAGGGAAGAAAGGAGGACGAAGACGACGATGGAGCAGGAGAACATGGAGGAGTGGAAGAGAGCAAAGGTTTTGAGCCAGATGACCTTCCCCACAAGAAACGTAGGGCTAGGGAAGAACTGCCCAGGGATTCTTCTTGTCAAAATGAGGATCAGAATGATGGTAGCGAAAACAAGGAGGATACTGGTGAAAGTACTAGGTAATAGCCTCGGTAGACGGGTGCAGTTTTCTTTTGTTGCTGCTGTTTCTGTTTTTGATCCGAACGATAGTTTAGCCTACCCCATGCTGCCCCCTCACGGGGTCCCAGTTCATGGTAGATAGAAGTGTTGTGTGTTTTCAACCGCACTAAGACGGACGTATTTTCATTGGTCAGCCGGTTAGCGCGGTCGATGCTAAAAATAAAACACACACGAACACTCCCGTGCGGCATCACAGGTGGTACAGAGGTACGGGCCGATTGGAGATGCTGAGTATGGGGATAGTCGTGCTGCCTTCGTAGCGCTAGAGAAGAAGTACAAGGTGGCGGGTCCGTATCGGATGAAGCAGCTGCACGCCCAACTGGCATCCGTCGCCGTCACAACAAGCGACGAATATTTTGATCCGTCGCGCGCGATCCAGGAGTTGCGCCACATTTCTACCGAGTTGGGTTCTCTCGGCGATATTGTCGTCGACTCGCGGCTGTCCAACGCTTTGCATGACGCTCTCCCGGACAGCCATTACAGCAAACTGAAGACTGCGTTGCTGTGTGAGTCGCAGAGGTCGGCTGAGGGTACGGTTGATTTCGAAGAACTCGCCCTCCGTGCTACAACATTTCATGCAATGCGAATCCGGGGGAAAGACTCTGGCCGCGTTAATGGGGCAGGCAGTCACGGTCGGGCTTTGAACACTGCCAAGCACGGACGAGCCCGTGCCTTCCGCAAGCAAGGGGGGCGCGGTGGACGTGGCGGACGTGGTCGTCGAGGAAATGGCGGCCAAACTACGAACGGTTTGACGGGCGGCGGTTCGTCGAACGGGAACAACGAAGGTTCCTCGAAACACGGCGACAGGGCGGAAAATGCGCAAGGCGGACGCGGCAATGGTCGCGGTAGCCAAGCTTCCGGTGGAAACGGTCGAGGATGGGGCCGAGACAATGGTCAAAACTCGAAGGGCTTATGTAGGTACTGCCACAACTCCAAAGAGCACGGGTGATACAACTGCCCGCTTTGCCTTTCGCAGGAGGCGGAAGAAGCCAAGGAACAGGCTTCTCATGTCACGCAGGAGTCGACCACGCAGGCGCGGTTTACGTGGATCGAGGGACCCAGCAGCCAGCTGGAGGACTTCGCGATTGTTATCGGAGATGACACGCAGGTTCAGGCGGAGCCTGATGACTACATGCGAGTGCAGAATGCACGTGTTGCGGCGCTGCTGGAAACGCGCGCCGCCGTAGGCGCAGAAGGTGCCTGGTGCGGCGCAGCTAGGGAGCGCGCAGCTGGAGTTGTGCAGGTGCAGGATGTGCCTGCTGCGGTGCTGCGTGATGAGCGCACCGCTGGTGATGTGCCGGTCAGGCGGCGCTTGTGGCAACGACTCACCTTCAGGCGGAGGAGGCGCCTGATGGGACAGAGTAATCTATGTCGCGTAGACTACACCAACGTGTTTCAAGTGGAACAGGTGAATCCCCCCGCTGTTGGAGACAAGACTGTATACATCGATTCTGCCGCTTCTAGCCACATGATATGCACCGAGTCCCGCATGTCCAAACATGTTCGTGATCCGGTGGACTGCGCCGTGCGTATCATCGGGTCGTGTGGTACCTCAAATGCAACCAAGAAGAATGGCACGATAAAATTTGGAATTCTGAATGTCAAGAACACGGTGGTACCGGTAGCGGTGGAAGTTCTGTTGGTTCGCAACCTAGGAGCTAACATCTTGTCGGTTGGAGCTTTGGCCGAGAAGGGGGTGATGTGTGATCTATTGTCGACCCCGCCGGCGCTTCGCCATGGCAACCATGTTTTCCCCATCTCGACGGCGGTGCGGCGGATGTACGTCGTGAACGTCATCATCGACGACGTCAATCTTGACGCCGCCGAGGAATACCACACCACGGTCGACGCTGATATGTGGCATCGTAGAAGGGGTCATTGCCACCCACGTGCTCTGCAGCAGCTGGCGGACAAAGCGACAACCGGAGTGAACTTCAACCGGAACATCGAACCAGGTGACTGCCGGGTTTGCGCGGTTGGCGACAGCAAAAAATAGGTAGCCACCCTCTGTCGAATCGCACTTGAGCCACGACTCGGCTTGAGATTCTGAGCGCCGATATGTGGAGGCCGCACCCTGTCAAGTCGTCCGGCGGATGCCAGAGTGCCGTTTTGCTTACTAATGACCTCTCTCGCATGAGGTTTGGCTTTCTCCTGAAGACGAAAGATGGGGTGGCGGAGTCGCTCCAAGAGCTTATCAAGAACGAAGCGGATCCATACAATCGGAACGGCGCACAAGCTACTCCTGGGAGCACCGCACCGTCCAGGCCATCTGTGGGGCGAAGCATTCCATACAGCTATCTAGACTACCTCAAGAATCGCACACCTACGGAGGTTCTGGACGGAAAGGCCACACTTGAGGTATGGGAGGGGAAACCGCTCGGTGACTTGTCGCACACCCATGAACAGGGCTCGGCAGCCTATAAGCACGAGGGAGCACGATTCCGGAATACCAAGCGGTCAACCAGGGAGATCACAAACTCCGCTGAGGTGTCCTTTCGTGAGAAAGAGACTCGCGACGTGGTCAAACCCAAGAAAGGGTACGACCCATTCTCAGCGATGCAGCGATGACTCCCACCACCATCTATCCGCCGAACACGGTGGACACTAACAAAGAAGAAGAAGAAGAAGAGGACGAAGAACACGAACAAGAACAAGAACAGGAAGAAGTAACGCCAACGCCATCGGGGCCCCAACTGGAGGATTCGAATCGGAGCGGCAGGGTCTCCAACCCGCCGGAGAGGATGAATCTGCATACGACGGAGGAGGCGTACGAGCGGACCGAGCATGCCCTGTTGACGGGTAGTGTGCTCGGAAACATCAGGACTGGTCGCCCCGGTGAGGCAGGCTACAAGCCTGCTGATCCCGCAAGATATGACGCAGCGGTCAACGGCACGGAGGGAGCACTCTGGAAATGAGAGTCAGCGACGAGGGAAAGTCGTAATACAAACATGACGTGTTCGACTGGGTGGATCCGCCGAAGAACGCAAAACCGATCCCGTCCAGGTTCCATTTCGTGTGGAAGTACGATCAGGACGGCGTGGCGGTTCGCGCGAAAACTCGTGTGGTGGTGCAAGGCTCTTACGAAGCTGATACGGGGGCCGACAAGGCGGCGCCGGTGGCGTCCATGGAATCCGTACACATGGTGTTAGCAGTTGCTGCCCACAACCATCTCGTCCAGAAGCAAGCGGATATCAAGACGGCATTTCTACGTGCCAGAATCCCCGAGGAGGCGGAGCCTACATACGTCATAACGCCGAAGGGATTCCCGTTGGTCTAGCTAAAACAAGTCTGGCTTCTCAAGGCGTGGCTCTATGGCCTGCGCCTCTCCCCGAAGGGATGGAACGGTACTTTTCATGTCTTTCTGCTGGAGCTTGGCTTTGTGCAGAGCACCGCAGACCCGTGCCTTTACTCACTGCAAGACGGAGAAGTACTTCTGCTTGTATACGTGGACGGCATCCTTTTCACCGGCACCAACGAAGATCTGGTGACGACGATAATTTCGCAGCTGAAGGAAAGGTCCGAAACGGTGGATCTGGGGGATGCGAAGTTCCTTCTGAGAATGGCCATTCGGCGCCATCTCAACGCCGGAACACTTCTCCTGACGCAAGAGGCGTACACCAAGGCCGTGCTGGCTAAGTTCAACATGGCTGACGCACACCCGACGAAGACGCCGGCTGAGGTTGGGCCGATCCCTACGGCGGAGGATGAAGTGCTGTCGCCAGAGGACACCAAGAACTTCCGGTCGGCTACGGTTTGGTTCTTTACCTTTGCAGGGGAACGAGGCCGGACATTGCACACTCAGTGTTGGTGCTTACCAGGAACATGGCGAAACCGGGACCGAAGGTGATGGCCAAGCTGAAGCGGCTGCTTTGGTACCTAAAGGGGACCACCTCCATCGGAATCACGTACAGCGAGGATGCCGAGAATGGAGACAAACTAACGGCGTACGCTCACTCGGACTTCGGAGGTGACCTGGACGACCGGAAGTCCACTACGGTGATCGTTCTATTCCTATCCGGTGGACCGGTGGACTGGAGGGCAGCTAAACAACCGCTGGTGGCCGTCCAATCGGTGGAGGCGGAGTACGTGGCGTTGTCCAAGGCTTGCCAGCTAATCATCCCCTTCCGGCACCTACTGAAGACTAGTCCAAGGCTTGCCAGCTAATCATCCCCTTCCGGCACCTACTGAAGACTATAAACCGTGCCCAGAAGGAGGCCACGGTGCATTACGAGGATAACTCCTGGCCTATATTGACTAGCCTTAGCTCCAAGATCACGCCCAGGACCAAGCATAATGAAATCAAGTATCACCACATCAGGTCGCGGACCCAGGATGGAGTCGGAAAGGTCGAGAAGATCGAGTCAGCAATGCAGAAAGCTGACATGTTTACCAAGAGTTCGGGTGCTGTGAAGTTCATCAAGAATCGCATGATGCTCCTAGGAGAATGATTTGTGTTGGAAACGAAGCTCAGGAGGTGTGTGTAAGAGGAAAATAATCCGCTGCTTGAAGGAATTGTATAGCAGCTAGAAATATTTTGATGTTGTATGTATGCAAGTACTCGTGAAGATTGTTTATTCGAGAGGACATTGACGCTGTTTTGAGAGGACATAGAGAGAGAAGGTGTCTTGTGTATCAGAACGAGAATACCGAAGTTCGTGAGAGGACATGTTGGGGAATTTATGTTGTGCATGAACGACTCTATCCTGTTGTGTGGGTTTTATCCCCGGCATTGTGAAGGCGTGTTTCCAAGTCTGTAACCGTCAGGTGACGACAGCTTGGGCGCCTGTGTGTGGATAATAAATCACTCTATGTATGTATCTCTACCCAAGCCTCCGTCACATACGCCAGCCACAGCATACAACAGCCGTCGTCATGCTGTTGTGTCGCAATGCTGAGCCATCGATGGTGGTGGTTGATCGCATGAAACCAAAATACGATATGCGGAGTGAAGATAGGAAACAGGTTGGTCAATGTTGATAGAGGAGCGCGATGCGAGGCAAGAAGCAAGCGCGCTACGGCTGTTCGATAGAGAGGCAGGCAGAAACTGGGGCGATCGGTCGCACTATCCCTTGCAACTGAGCGTTGTCATACACCGAAAATCAAGCGGTTACAGCCATCGAATACCACTCTCGACGGATAGATCCAAAAGACTTCTCAATTGTACACCGGACGCAATTCCGTGCTGTCCATGATATGCTGCAACAAACATACAACATACGCTAGAAGACAAGTTGGAACTTACGACATGATGATGATAAGGCTTCCGAGGCCAGGTTCTACCGCACCGCCGACATCGATCGCTACCATGCGTTTCACGAGCTCGGGTCGTTTCTTTTCCACCAGGAAGGAGAACGTGCTTGGAGGTACGAACAGAAAAAGAAGGAAGGCGCACCAATACATTCTTTTCGGGGAATGCTGTGTGTAGACTAGGTGTAGTAGATGTCGTCCGTTCGAACAGAAAACAACTGAAGAACAAAGCTGTGCCCCGCCGTCGTACGTATCACGTGCATTTGGCGAGAGTCGATCGTTTATGTTGTCCGTGAAGACACAGAGCGTGATGCCAGAGCGCGAGGGTGGGTTTCGATCTCTGCACTACTATTTTCGCTGATGCCATGATTTTTTTCGGCAAAGTAGCCTATTATGGATGCCCTCTACTCTGGGTGAGTGGAGAGTCCAGGGTTGTGGTGGCTATGTCCTGCCACCGGAGGTTGGCTATTTCCTTTGGTGTAATGTGGCGAGGAATGCCAAGCGTGACCGAGCGAACTCAGTCAAGCTAGGGTGGTGCGGAGGGTGTGGGTGAGCCTTCGTGGACTCATTTCCCCATCCTCCTAAAGATTCATCAACTATTCGCAGCCGTTGGGAATCTGTAGGGTCATGACCCCTTGGGACCAACAGTGATCTAGTATCACATATCCCTTGGATCTGACTCTTTATGTACGTGTGTTTGTGCTTCCTGAATCTCCATATCCTGACCTCCACATAGCCCCCCTTTTTCTTCGCCGAAAGCTCAGCTTGTTGAAGTTGGGTTTTGGCGTACATTCATGTGTGAATGTTAAGTTTTAGTGGAGCAGGTATGGACGTATCATGGATGCCAACACAGCTTTTCAAAAATTAAATCCCTCCCTCACTATCCGAAGACAGCTGACAGTGCCGTGTGGACTACACACGTGTTGGAAGCAACACCGTACGGATTTAATATCTCCAAGGCTCGTACAAGCTACCAGGTATTGATGTCAATCAATGATGTGTCAAAGCTTATTCTTGTTAAGTATCAAGAATTTGTACTTTGTGCGGGTTCTGGTTCGCGTAACCATACCGCTGGGTGTAAGCAATCGTGTTGCTTATTGAGTACGATAGGCATACGGTGTTCGACAGTCTTAAGACTGTTTCCGTGACTCATGATTAGTGTCATCGAGTTGCGACCCTCAATTCCACTTGAGACCGGTTAACTTGACATTTCCTCGCCAGCATTTGACCCAACCAAATGCTGGATAGCAACCTTATTGTTTGGGTGCTATTCCTTTCACCGTTTAGATACTTTGGAAATGTATCTTTTGTTTGCCTTCGGACTTCGTTTACTTTTCCGCTGAGTACGTTTTTTATTCACGCATTTTGCTGGCTTGGGACACAACGTGTCTGGCCTTGCTTTGTGCTTTGCGCGTTTGTTCGTACTCGGATCCCTACCTTCGTCGCGTTTTCGTTTCGCTTTTTTCTGCGGTACTTCGGACGATTTCTTGGCGGGCGCGATGTCCAGATCATGTTTTGATCGGTATGCGGAAATCATTTCGTGGCATTGCGGCACTTCGTCGGCACGATACATCAGATCTGATTCAGGACCGTATCCTTTCAGTCTTAGACGATATCGATAGTTGTGCGGACCTTTTCGGCCTTGACCGCTTCGATGCCCTACCACTTTCAACACGACGTATCTTTCAATTTTCGGTTGATTTTCGTCGTTTGCTGTCAGGGCAGGTAAGGGAATTTGTTTCCCAAGGAAATATTCCGCCAGTTTTCCAAACTGTGGTGCTGGTGGTTTTTCCCTTTCATGGTACTGTTTTAGATGGGCGAGATGCACGGATATTTCTCGTGTTTCATCGACTCGCTTCACCCTATACACAACTGGCGACAGTTGTGAGCAGATGGTATATGGTCCTCGCCACGGTAAGAACAGCTTCGGATTTGGTCCATCTATATCCTGGTGTGGTCGGTATACGAGTACCTGTTGACCAGGTTTAAAGACGGGGTACTGCGGTAACTTTTCGTTTTTCGCAGCTTGCTTCTCTGCACGTTCCGTGAGGTTTCTTCGCGCCAGTTCGAAAGCAATTTGTAGATTTTCTCGTGTTTTTTGAGCAAAACTCTCGGTATCTGCAGTTGATCCTACATGTGGGATTCCGAGAATTACATCTACCGGTAACCGTGCTTGGCGACCAAACATCAAGAAGTACGGTGTCTCATGCATGGTTTTATTAAACGACGTATTATACGCTAGTTGAACCATTGGCAGGAGATCCGCCCAGTTGTCACGATTCATGGAGCTATGCATTGCGAGCATGGAATGCATCGTTGAATGCACACGCTCAGAGACCGAATTACCTTGCGGACGATACGGCGTCGTGCGTGTTTTCTTATAGCCCAAGATTGTTTGCAACTGATAGATAATCTTGTTTTCGAATTCAGTGCCTTGATCAGAGTGCAGCATTTCAGGCGGGCCAAAGATACTGATAATCCGATCAATGATTACACGTGCTACCGTTTCAGCAGTTTTGTTTGGAACTGGTGTGAGAATTGCATAACGCGTCAGGTGGTCCATCATGGAAAGCACGTATTTGCATCTCACTCCGACTGCTGACATTGAGAGTGATTTGTACTCGACTAGGTCGACTGATACTCTTTCAAACGGCCGCTGTACAGGTACGTAACCCGTCGGCAGTTTCGGACGGCGGTGAGGTGTCTTTCTCCGTTGACAGGCCTGGCATTCTAGGCACCAAGTCCGGATGTCACGGTTCATTGACTGCCACCAATATTTTTGACGTATTTTTTCGTACGTTGGACGAAATGCGAGGTGTCCACCTGAAAGAGCGTGATCATGGTATGCGTGCATCACTAAACCGGTGAGGTCATGTGGGACTACAAGTTGATCACTAAAAGTGCTTCGTTTTCGTAGGTGTCCTGGCAGATACGACTTAAACAGTAATCCGTCTTGTATGGAATAGTACGACATTGATGTTGCCGTTTCGTTGTCTGGTAGCGGTGCTTTGGCGTCTAAAATGTATTGGACATATTCGCCGTATTCTTCGGCTTGTTTCTCGCGCAATTTCTCATGCTTTACAGATTCAAATACTTCCGTGGCGCTGACGAAATTTGAATTGACTGTGAATAATTCCCTATCACTAAGGACTGGTTGCACATCATCCAATTTGTCAGTCGAGACTTGGTATGGTCTGTTTGGCATGTGTTGTTGCAGCTTTGGGTCGTCCGGTACATTTCGGCAAATCGGTGCAAGGTTCGGCGCAGTTCGTTCTTGTTCATTATCGAACACGAAAAGTCGCGATAACGTATCCGGCACTACATGCAACTTTCCCGGTTTGTGTTTTACCGTGAAATCGAAGGATTGCAGTGCTATTGCCCATCTAGTGAGCATATTTGACGTGTCTTGCATCGTATAAAGATATCGCAATGCCGCATGATCAGTTACGCACGTAAAATGTCTACCCCATAAATAAGGACGCCAGTGTTGAATTGCTAGAACAACAGCATAGCATTCTTTCATGGTGGCAGAGTAGTGTTGTTGGCTTTTGTTGAATCGCTGGCTAAAGTATGCTACGATATTCACGTCATCGCCATTCTGTTGTGCCAGGAATGCTCCTGCTCCCACTTCAGATGCGTCTACGTGGATAACAAACTCTTTAGAAAAGTCCGGAAAATGCAAAACAGGAGCGTTGGTGAGTAATCGTTTCACTTCGGCAAATGCTTCATCATGTTTCGGACCCCAGCGTTTCGCTACCGACTTCACTGCGTCTTTCTTCGTAAGGTCAACCATTGGTGCGGTGACGGCGGCTAAGTCTGGGATAAATTTCCTGACATAGTTGACCGTTCCTAGGACTGATCGCAAACTTTTGATGTTTGTTGGCGTTGGCAACTCTAGTATCGATTTTATCCGATCTTCACCTAAACGTATGCCATCTGCAGAAAGAATATGCCCCAAATACTTCACTTCCTTTGGCCCAAATTGTACCTTCGACGGTTTCAATGTAAGACCTGCGGCTTGTAGCGCTTGAAAGGTATTTTCCAAAAGAGAGATATGACCCTCCCATGTAGATGAACAACAAATGAGATCGTCCATGTACACGAGAAGACCGGATTTTGGACCAAAATGTGCGAAAGTCAATGCCATCGTACGTTGAAACAGAAAAGGCGCATTGGCGATGCCAAAGGGCAGTCGTTTAAAAACCCATTTTCCGTTCCTAGTAACGAATGCAGTCTTGTCTTGTTCTGCTTCGGCAATTGGTATTTGGTGGTATGCACTTTGTACATCGCAGACTGTGATGTATTTAGCACCTGCTACTGTGTCAATATGACTTGCCATCTCAGGCATTGGCCACGATTTTCGAATTAAATTCTTGTTTATCGTCGCTCTGTAATCTACACAGAATCGGGGGCTGCCGTCAGCTTTTGCTACCAACGTTACTGCTGACCCCCATGGGCTCGCTCTTTGCTCGATTATCCCAGCTTCTTCCATTTCACCAACACATTTGTCAATAACCTCTTGCATTCGTGGATTTGCACGATATGGAGCTCTGTTGACTGGTTTTGTTCCTGGTTGCAATGGAAAATCAGCCTCTGTGAGAGTACATTTGCCCAGTTCTTTAGGACTCAGGGAGAATACTGAACGGTATTTGGTACACAGATTAAGTATTTCTTCACACTGGTCGGGCAAAAAGGTTGTATCTCTGAAAGCTTTGGCTAATGCCTTCTTGAGATCTGTACGGTTTTTTTCCGTTTCTTCCGGGCTCGATTGAACGCTGCTCATTGTTTGTGGCAGTACAGTTTTCACCGGACAGATATAGCCTATAAGTGTATTTCTCTTCAGGGATACCTGTCTGTGAGAAGGGTTGGCCAGTTGTACCATTGCACTTTTGTTGTGCTTATACCAGTGACAGACCGTGCGTGCTACTATTACCCTCTGGAATGCCTGTGGCGTATCCTGCTTGTTAACGTCATCGGAAGTCATGATGCGTGGTTCAACAACGGCAGCTGTGGTTTCATTTGGCGCCTCCAGCGAATGAATTTCGACAGCTATTTCATGTTGCGCAGGTATGCAGCATTTTCTGGTAGTGTATACTGGCACTGCAAGGGTGTCTCTCTCAACTGCTACCACAGAACAGTTCATGCTGTTTTCCTGGTCGGTCGTGGGGTAGCGCGTTTTACGGTGGGTGGCCGGAATTTTGGTTTTTGTTGTTTTAAACGACAATTCTTCCGCTTGCCAATCAAGAACACCGCCAAATGCGTCCATTATGCTATTGTCGATTAGCATATTATCTGGTCCCAACGACGGTAGCACTAGAGCTTCAACAGGTAAGGTGATTTCTCCTAGTGTTAGTTCGAATCGAGTGTACCCTTTAATTTTCAGGGGCGAACCATCAGCGCTGCGCAAATTGATTGCTCCTGTGGGTACTGGAAATATTTTCGTGTTTTTCAGCGTTTTGTGACTTCTCATGAACTTGTGTGATATGCATGGTATGTCACACGCTGTGTCGATTGTAATTTCATCAACCGACTCATTGTTTATTCTGGCGGATACACGTACTCGCTTGGATGTCGATCGTAACACCGATGGACACACGGGGTATCCAGCGAGTGCAGACATGTAAAAAGCATGAAATTCTTCATTATCATCAGTCCTCATTAGGTTCGACCTATGTTTGGACCTGAAGTCCCCAGCTACGGTAGCTACGTGCAAAGCTTGCGGCGCTAAACTTGCTGCTACTTGCTTCACTTGGGTGCTATCCCTTGCTGCTGGATCTAAAGAGTCTACTGCATCAGTTGTGCCAGTACTCGACGTGGGAATTTCCCGCGTTTGCTTGCTGCTACAAACTTCGCAAGAATTTTCTCGTGATTCAGGTACTTCAACTGTTTTGCAGCACTCCTTTCTGCCTGCTTTTCCTTTTGTTTCCCCCAGAGGTCGTACACCATTTCTACAGTGTTTTGTATCCCTCTCATCTACTTTGGCTCTCTTCTGCTTATTCTTGCTTTGCAGCCTATCCCAGCTTTTACGTACTGGTTTGAAAGAACCAAATGATTGGTGTCCCACGTTGGCCGAGGGATGCTGCTGCCTACTCGAGCGACCTTACTTCAGCGGAGCTGTGCGTTCGGCTTCTGCTAAAAGCCTGGCGTACGTGCGGGTTACTCTGAGCGCAAACTCGTCAACGGATTCGCTAGTCTTTGCTTCCAATGTCATGACATCACGTGCAAGAAGAGCGATTCTGTTGGCAGGGGCGAACGAAGTAGTGAAAGCGGTGACCCACTCTTTCCATGTTTTCGGAGGTGAGATTCGGATTGCTTCCCCACGCGCACGCAACGCATGCAGCTGGGCTGGTGGTCGCCATTCGAGTGATGAGCTAAGCATGAGGCTGAGGCTTTGAGCTGCAGTACCTCGTACGAAAAGTGGGAGGTGTCTGATTGCACGGTGATCGATTGTGCTTTGAGAGACGTTGTCGGCGGACAATAGCCCGATGTGTGCTCTGTAAAGGGCCATTTTTTCCGGAACATCTTCGTGAGGCAGACCTTCGAGCTTGAGGTCAGGCGGAAGGTCGGTAGCCTTCAAAGTGAATCGTGTCGTGCTAATCACGCCCTGGTTTGCCGTGTTCTGGGTTACCGGGTTAGACGTGTCCTGGTTTACCGTTTGCTGGTTTACCTGGCTCATTGGTTTTTGGTTTACCGCGTTGAGGTTGTCCGGGGTATTGTGTGAAATTGTTGTGTTCTGATGAGCAGAAGAAATTTGCGGAACACTTGGGGTGCGCCTGCTAGAACTATTTTCTGCTGCTAGATCCTGGGCAAGCGATCTCGGGTTCACCTTCTCTATGTCGTTCTGGTGGCCGGCGCCTGGCATGAGCATCTTGATGACCCAGGCTGGGGGCTCCTCCCCGGCCTTCGCTGCTTTCTGGACCTCAGCGACCAGAACTGACTCGAGTGGGCTGCCGCTCGACAGGAGCGACGCGCCCGGTTGACGGGGTGCTTTCGCGCGGTCCCGCAGGATATCCTGCGCGAGGCCGTCGTCGTAGTCATGTCCGTCTACGTCGTCGTCATCGACTTCCCCCCACGCGCGTCCATCACCGTTGCCGGTGTGGACGTCGTCGTCGGTTCGACTCCCGATGTTATCGTCGTGAGCAGACTCAGCATCACTGCTGTCGTTGTCCGCATGGCTCTCATCTCCGTCGGCAAGAGGACCGAAGGAGCAGATGCTGCTGCTGTTTGTGCTCGACGGGGTTGCTAAGCCCGCGGAAGCACCAGCATTCTGTCCAGCGCGCCTCGCCTTATGCTGTCCCTTTTCGGGCTTAGCGGCGGGCTTTGCTGCGGCTGTAGCAGCATCAGAGCGTTGCGACTTCGGCGGCTGTTGATTTTGGTTTTGCGTATTTGCTTTCTTTTTGTTGCCTCCCATGTTTCAGACTTGGGTTACGGCGAAAAAGAAAAACGCTTCGTCGAACGCCAATATGGATGCCCTCTACTCTGGGTGAGTGGAGAGTCCAGGGTTGTGGTGGCTATGTCCTGCCACCGGAGGTTGGCTATTTCCTTTGGTGTAATGTGGCGAGGAATGCCAAGCGTGANATTTTGCGTATTTGCTTTTTTTTTGTTGCCTCCCATGTTTCAGACTTGGGTTACGGCGAAAAAGAAAAACGCTTCGTCGAACGCCAATATGGATGCCCTCTACTCTGGGTGAGTGGAGAGTCCAGGGTTGTGGTGTCTATGTCCTGCCACCGGAGGTTGGCTATTTCCTTTGGTGTAATGTGGCGAGGAATGCCAAGCGTGACCGAGCGAACTCAGTCAAGCTAGGGTGGTGCGGAGAGTGTGGGTGAGCCTTCGTGGACTCATTTCCCCATCCTCCTAAAGATTCATCAACTATTCGCAGCCGTTGGGAATCTGTAGGGTCATGACCCCTTGGGACCAACAGTGATCTATTATCACATATCCCTTGGATCTGACTCTTTATGTACGTGTGTTTGTGCTTCCTGAATCTCTATATCCTGACCTCCACACTATACGTAATACATACGTTATCGCCCTACTGTACTGCAGCACGGTGTAGTCCTCCTGCTCAGCGATGGGTAACTTTTGTTGTAAGTGTATTGGATTGGGCGAGTTCTCCTACAGTACACCGGGAGAGGGGCCTACCCGGCAATGTTCACCGCGCGGAGTGTGCGCACTCAGCATAGCGAATAACCAAACAAACTGACAAACCCGCAGACTGCACATTCTAGATTCATTTCCTGTACGTCATGGTTGCTTGCAATCTCATGTCGATGCTTCTTTTCGAACAGAAGAGCGATAGCACTGGAGTACAGCAGTAGAGGGCACGACGAGCGCTGTCCGTCTGTTTGTTCTACGAAGCAGCTACTCTAGTTCCCTCGATACGTTTCTCACCAACCCCAATCGTGTGCGATGAGAGTCACCGGTTCACCGTTCCCAGCCTTCTCTATCGTTCCCTCGAGCCGGCGCACGATCTCGTCGATCGAGTAGCCATTCTTCTCCACATCTGCGTGGTACTCATCGTTGTCAGCGCCGAATCCGGGTAGATCCGTCGTGACGCAACGGTAACGATCTTTCAGATGAGCTACCTGAAGGGCAAAACCAACAGCAAGGAGAGAGCGTTGTAGTCAAGAGGACAGCCGGGAGTCGCTGCTGGTGTTTGTGGCCTGACCTCTAGACCATAGTCTATTCATCAGTCCTTCCTTCCTCTTATTCTGTCCGGGGCTCGTTTCTTGTCTACAAAGTAGAAGACTTGTGGAGTACCCGCACGGCGACTCTATTGGTTTTGGTGTGGACTAGTCTATGCATTCAAGGTTTCTTGACTCAGCACTAGTCTACAGCAGTAGGTTTCTCTACGGGGGTCAAGTTGGTAGAAATTGTACTTTTCATGTTATTCTTTGGGAGGCTTATATTTACTGTAACTCCTGTCGGTACAAGTACTTTGGCGCGCTCCCGTACAACATAAAAGGGGCATGGGACTTTTGCCGACTTTTTAGTCCGAACCTGCAGCTTTCGACAGCGTGTCCCCAGTTACTGAACATCTGAGCGCGCTCAACGCGCGTCCGGTATCCATTATCGTGCATGGTTCAGCACTTAATTAAGATTGAGACTGGGAACTCCAGCAGAGGGAATTTCTTAACTCGACAATCGACGTGAGGGCGGAGCAACATCTACCCTAGACTAGTCTACATCAACTGTGCATGAGCACCGCCTGGTGAAACATATAGTCTATACATGCAGGATGGTCCCCAACAGCCGTAGATGCGAGTAAAGAGAGGACCTGCGCTACATACAAGGAGACAGACAGCAGTGCCAACAGCAGTGGTTTTGTCAACAGCAGTGGTTTACAGCAGTTGGCAGTGTTTGCATTGGTGGTCCAACAGTTCAAAAATAAATAAACCGTTCGGGCGATCGGTGCGTCGGAAATGTGGGGCACATGAATCTTGGCTATTTTGCCGCAACGATACTGCTGTATACATGAAAAAATGATCGAGCATATAGTCTAATAAACGCTCTTGCTCTCGTCTCCTTTTCCAACAAGGTGTCCACCAACTTGCCTAACCACACCTGCTTGTCCCACATCTGGTGGTCATCTGGCCACCCGTGCACGAAGAGAAGGACAGGCCCGTCATCTTTGCCGTCCGAGAACATCCTCAGAGCTGGTGTTTTCGTTGATGCCGCCGTCGAGCGGCTTCTGGCGGCGATCATGCCGCTGCTACGCCCTGTTGGGCGGCAGCCCCGCCAACCTCTAGGTCGTAGCCGCATCGTTGCCATCGAAACGAGTGGCGGCGACGATCGCATTGTCGTGGAGGCTGTGTACGTCAGAAACGCGAAGTGTACCTAGGTTACTGGGCTCTAACAATAACGCGGGATGGAGAGAGAGCGGGGGAGAAGGCGGAAAGTAGATAAATGCGCAAAAAAAAAGAGACAACCACACTCGCAAATAATCCGAACAGTGAAACCGAAAAGACGCACACGCGGACAATATATTGTGTAACCAAACACCTTCTATGCATACGTGGTCCGAACCTACAAGTATGTGACAGCATTGATCAAGATCTCGGTGTCGCAAACGTATGGGCGGTTTCCGAGTCGATACTCCATACCAGACAGGGATATATCGTAAATGGTAATGCCGCGCATGGCACGCCTGTGCTCCGGCACCGTCATTTGAGCGCTTTTCATGCCGCCATTGGAGCATAATAACCGGTGAAGAGATAGACTATACCAAACAAAATGTAGCTCCCTCGGAGAAAACCAGTCCTACGCATAGAATACTTCCTCCTTTCTTCCGATAATTTCGGCCTCAAGGAGCGCGGCAGACGAAAAGAGATCGAACCAACTACTGTGGAATGCATGCACATGTACAGCAGTATTTCTCACGTCCTATGAGTGATGGCAGTTAGTTGTATTTTCCAGTAAGAGAGTCCATGGAGGAATAACAACAGCAGCAGACCGAGTATGCGGGGCCGCACACACGGCCTTTTCTCGCTCCGGCGAAGTGGGCGACAGAATATCACCAGCAGTTGGATCTACCATCCAACACTCATCCAGTTTCACTTATTTTTTCACAAAATATTACAGGTGGTCCAAAGCTGGTCTTCCATGTTCTTATTATTAGCATCGACCGCGCTGACCGGCTGAACAATGAAAAGACGTCAGTCTTAGTGCGGTTGAAAACAAAAATCACTTGTATTTAGTGTTGTTGTTGTTGTTTCTCACATTAGCTCTAAAAAAGAAAGATTGGGAGCCCGTGGTCTCAAAACCCAGCATACACGACCCCACGAAGAAACAGAAAAAAATAGGGTACAAAAACCACTCGGAAGAGAAACAAAATGATAGAAAGAAAGACCAGCTACCGCACCAAACGAGAAAGAGCGTCGAGGAGACCGATCAAAATAAAATAAAAGGAGAACGGGGAACGCTTCCCACACCCGCCTA